GATTGCACCACTTTCCCAGGCAGCCTGTTCCACTCTTCCAGTGAAGAAATTTTTCCTATTCTCTAATTTAAACTTCCTCTGACACAGCTTGATGCCATTTCCTCTTATTTTGTCACTTGTTGCCTGGGACCAAACCCCACCTGCCTATGTCCTATTCAGTAGCTGTAAAGAAGAATAAGGTCCCCCCAGAACCCCCTTTTCTCCAGGCTGAACACACCCAGCTCCCTCAGCTGCTCCCCAAATTGTGCTCCAGAGCCTTCTCCAGATGTAGCAGATCTACCCTTGACCAGCTCATTTCCCAGGAGGGCAGAACACAGTGAAACAGAGCATTTCCTTGGCCCTCCAGCATCTCATCCCCTTCATGGGATCACCCTCAATCCATGTGTGGGTGTGACACCATCCTGGTGTGGCCAGGCGGGGAGGGTGGGTACCAGCACATGCAGTGTCAGCTCACCAAGTGCACAGACACACCACAAAAGCTTCAAGAGGGACAAAATCCTGTTGCCAAATGCCTCTTAGACAGCACAAGGCTCTGGGAGAAGAGGTGGGGACGAGTGTTTCCCAACCAGCGAGCTGGGAGGATTCCTGGAGCTAAAATCAGATACCCTCAGACACTAAAGCAACGTGAAGAGCAGGAAATGGGGAGCTGGAGAAGGTGACATCTGCACAACTAAAGCCAACCTAAGGATTCAATCTTCCTCTCAAAGACACCAATGCTGCAAAGAGCCTGGCAGGAGTCACAAGGGAAGCACAGCACCCAGAGAATCCAACCCAGCCCTGCTGGAGGGGGAGGTTTTAAGCAAACAGCCCACCTGGCTGCTCACCCGCTGACTCTGCCTTGCTGGGCTGAGCTGAGCAAAGTGCAGCGTGGGTGCTTCTTTTTGGAGGCAAAATTGCCTAACAAGAGGCAATTATGTGACATTACCATTAAAAGCAGTGTGTAACAAAAAGGCTCCGAGCCTGTGTATCCTGAGGTCTGTGAACCCCTTTCTCTACTTTTGTGCTGAATAGGTCTCATTTAGCCCATTTGTTCTGTCCCAGGCAGGCAAAGCGAAAGTAGGGTTGATCGATTTGTTAATTACAGTAATTTTATCTCAAATAGAGACAGCTGAGTGTTCATCAAGCCACAACTCCGAGAGAGCCCTACCCCCTGCTCAATAATTAGGGATAATAAGTGGCTCGTAATAAATGCAACCCACAACAAGATGCTCTGAGAGGGTGGCGCAGAATCAGGAGGACTATTAGGGAACCCCCAGGTCTATTTCTCCTTTGGAAGAAAACAGTGTAAAATCTTTAATCGTCTCTCTTGAAACCCTGAGACAGCTCTGCCAGTTTGTTATGAGTAAAAGGCAATTATTCCATTTTGTGGCTGTGCTCGTGTCCAGAGAAGGCTTAACCAGAGTCATCAGGGCAGGCAAGGGTGGCTCTTTCCTCCTGCACTGACTGGGCACACACAGAAAGCTGAGGTGGGAGGTAATACCAGCAGGTTATAGATAACCACACTCCTTGGGAGTCTTAAAATCCTGGGTAAAGCTTAAAAGATTGAGTTTCAGTACAAGGCACAAGCAGTCCGTGCTCAGCTTGGAGATTCCATCCATACCCGTGGATAAATAAGAAGTATATTCAGTACTGAGGGCTCACCTCACCCTTCCAGCTCAGAAAGAAAATGCTGGCAAAAGCTGAAAGCAACAGAAAAACAATCTTTTGTCCTCATCTTCATTCTGGGATATGGAACTTCTGAAGCAGGTTTCTACTCCAGCCTATCAAGAGCAAGGTTTGGGATCAGTGAGGAGAGTGCAACAGAACTCCTGTCTCTTCCAAACCCTGAAAAACAGACAAAATGACACCAAACCCACAGAGGTACACCCACACCCTCCATTTCTGTTGGGTTTCTTTCTCTTTTCCTGCTTTATCCCCTTGGTAATTACCCCTGCAGCACCTAGAAAAGTGCAGACAGCCAAGGTGGACGCAGAGATGAAAACATCACCACCTCCAATTCCCTTCCAAGGACTAAGGAGAAAAGAAATACCTTCCTCCACTCCCATTCTTGGGCTCAGCCCCTGGCCAGGGCTGGAGAACAGAGCTTAGTGTGGAGGGAAAGGTTTCAACCCCTGAGCTCGCTGGATCCTGCAGGTCCAGGTGCTGGGGGGAAGGACTTGGGCAGGGGAGGTCACCACTCCTCACTGTCCTGGGGGAGGACAAACAACACAAAGCTGCTCTGGCAAAGGGTGTCTGCCACCACAAACAGCAAAATAAACCCATACAGACCTGAGATTGGAGAGACTAGAGATACCCAGGCCTTTTCCCAGCTGGTCAGTCAGTGCAGCTGCACTTCTTCTTTTCCAGTGACTTAAAACATTGAATTTCAGCCTCTTTTTCCCCCCCACAAGGGGAAGACATGTGCAGCCCTCATGCACAAACAGGATTTGGAGAGAACTTTAAGGTTCCATCCTCTCAGCATGCAAAACCCACAGATGTCATTTATCTTATTTTCAGCACTGGGGAGTGCATGGGGATAAAGAAATAGATTTAATCAAATGCAGTTTTATTTTATTTGCAATAGTTGCTGTCACTTACTTTGCTCCAGGAAATGCATTTACTTGTGGCATTTCCTTCCAAGAGCTGAAGCTCCACTTGTTCCTGTGAAGAGACTGTATTTTTTGCAAATACTTTTTCCCAAGGCAAACAACATTTTTCAAATTATTATTATTTTGATATTTCAGTTCCCCTTCATCCACAACTACATTTAACCAGCATTTGCAAGATTCTTTTATGTCCTGTCCCTTATCTCAGCACTACATACATTGCATTCAGAATAAATCCTGGGCTCCTGTTCTGAGTGGGGGAGAGCTGTGTAATGATCAATCACAGAAGCCCTTGGGGATGGGAGAGATTAGCACTTCGATACTACTGAAGATGAATGGGTGGAATCAGTTTGATAAACTGGTGTTTTCCTCAGATAATTGCTCTGGAAGCTTTTTGAAGCCTCTTGGCTCCTCCTCCCCCTTTCTTTTTGTGTCTGGGTAGGAGAGCAAGCCCTGCTTTTCCAGCAGCACTGCTGGACAGGCTGCTGCGCTGGTTTTAAACAGTTCACAGTAGATTTATGCCACGTCTCATCACTTTTGGGCACTATTAGCTGTGATTTCAGCAAAGATCCAGGCTGGATTCCTGTTATTCTTGGCTGGTGACTGGTCCAGCACCCAGGTCCCTGAGCACAGCTCAGCTGAGCAGCACTGAGGGGATTTCTCACGGGATATGGACACATCTCCTCAAGCTTAAACCTTGAACAACTGCTCCTCTTCCTTCAGAAGTCACTCAGGGTGCTCACCTTCAGCTCTTCTTTCTCTGGGCTTTTGACACCCAACACCAACCTCCTCTTCCTCCTCCTGGACCATCCTTCTGCAGCAGCCCCACAGGATCAGCCACAGAGGAACCTCTCCTGAAGCTGTAACACAAAACTCCTGCCCAGCTCACTCAGAACTTCTTCAGGCACAGGCCAAATCCTACTGCACTCACAGGTGTGGTGCCATTTAACTTGTTCCCAAGCACTAATGAAAATGGAGCCAAGAGACTTTACTGCATTTTTATTGTTTCACTGAATAAATGAAATTTAAATACAGAATTAAAAATTCATAAAAAATAAAAGGTATTGAAAGCCATCTTTCAGGAGTGGGTTGCACGTCACTGACTGAAAAATTTACACTTAGTTTTTCATACAAAGATAGGAAAAAAAATTTAAAAAGCATATCCATCATCTTTGGTTTTTTGTTTGGTTTTTTTGTTTTGTTTTTTTTTGTTTTTTTTACATTTCTTTTAATATTTAAACCTGATGTCTGTCTCATGAGAATCTCCCATTAATCTTGTTTTTCACAGCATTGATTCAAATCGTTTGGTGTTCAAAAAACCCCACTCACCTGTAGCCCACAGCAGCAGTGATGCCCTCCTGACCCCTCAATGCATATGGGCAGAATATTTTGTAAACCAGCGTAGGAAGGGTGGGAAAAATGCAGCACTGTGTGATTTGCAGAGTGCAATTCAGACTGCAGTGGATCTTTGAGCTCAGTGATACCTTTATGAGCTGGGTATTTCTCAGGGTGTCACAGCTCTGGTATTTCTTTGCCATCTTGACTCCATCACTGCCACAAAGAATTGCAGAAGGAATATTGAATAGGTACCTTTGGTTTTTAAAGCCCCAGTTTAAAGCAGCTTGATCTTTCCAGAGGGAAAAAGTCACCCATTCTCAAGGAAAAGAATCAAGCTCTTTCAGGCACAATTTTAGCCCTATAAAAGAGGCACCTTGAGAGTTGTTGACACTGGGGTCAGGGTTGGGATTTTCTATTACAGGTTCTTAAGACGACATCTATGAAGGTGATCCAACCAGTCAATGCATCTGCATCATCTCAACCAAAAAAAATATATACACAGACTCTCTAATATATGAATAATTATAAGATATCTGCACCACTCACACAGAATTCACAAAGAGATGGAAAGGATATGGACTGTGGCTCACCTGTTCCTCAAGGATCTTAACCACCAAGAGGAATTAACCACAGGGACAGAATAATCACAGAGTGAAACACCTTTACTACAGAATCTAGGAGTTTGAGATAATGAGTAGGGAAAGCTATATTTCACCCTGGGAAAAAAAAAGGAGAGGAGTGAAAATTCAGATTGCAATGGAAACAAACTCCTCTAACAAAAGAAATAATACTGGAGACTGCCACTAGTGCAGCTGGGATTTGGCAAATGAAATACTTTGAGTATACACTTGCAGGGCAGCCCTGCTTCTGCCACGTGAATAAATATCCAACCACGTTCAAAAACAGTATTTAGAGAAAGACATCCAGATTTCCAGGCAGGCTGAGGGTTTGACCCCTCACACTGCACAGTGGGGTCCCTCACATGAGGTATTTCAGCATCACCACAAAGGAGAGCAACACCTCTGCACTGCTCTTCACAGGCACGCTCCTCTTGGAGCCGAGGTTGGATGATGATGATGATGGTGATGATGCAGCAGCAAGGTGTGAGTGCTCTGCTCTGCCCTCAGCTGTCCAGCCCAAAGGGATAACTGTGCTGAGTGTGATGGAAATGTGCAGCCAGAGCAGCGAGGGCTCAGCTCAGTTCAGCCACCTCCCATCTCAGGGACGTTTGTTGGCTGTTGAACAAACACATTCACACAGAATCTTCCACAAGCAAGTTCAGTTCACGTGGCCAGGTCAGATTCCAACCTCACATTAACTTCAGGGTATTTCCCCCGTTGTCTGTGGATACATAGGTTGTCCATAAAAATAAATGCTTGTTTTACCCTTGTTGGTGGCAATTTGGGTTTGCATTACCAGCAGAGCTGCGTGGGACAGGCATCTCTCTCCTGCCACACTGCACATCTGAAAGGCTGCTGTATTTTCCACCCCTTTTTTCGAGGAAAGTTATTTTCTTGTATTGCATAAATGTATTTAACTGCAGCCATGAAATACACGACGTGCTGGTGTCACATCCCATCTGGCCTTTTTGGAAACATCCTTTTTCATTCTTCAAAGAGCATAACAGAAGCTTGACAGTGAAGCCCAGGATCATTAACTTTTGTGCTGACATGCCACAGGCAGCCATGGACCTTACCCAAGGGATGCCCTTAGTACCACTGCAGCATTTGACTGTCTCTCCTCCAAAAGGAAGAGCAAATCCAGAATACACAAATGCCTTCCACCATATTCAAGATCATCTTTTTCTTCTTCTGTTCCATCTTTGCTGCACAACCACTGCAGCTTTGCCTTCAGGCTTTGTTTTGGGGGATGTTTTGTTTAGGAACAGTCACTCCCCCTGCAAACTCTGCTACACAATGATAATTGCTGCTTGTTTCCAACACCCCTGTTAGCACAGAGGCCACTGTGCTCTCACTGCCAGCTGCCACAGAAGCAGTTAATAAAGGTGCTTTTCCTTCCTAGAAACAAGCTGTGTCTGCTCTGACACTACAACAGGAAAGTCTCCATTTCCACACCTTCCAAAAACTGCAGCCAAGTGCTTTGCTTTGCTCATGTTTTTCTTAGAACATCCGAGGATAAGATGGGTTTTGCTTAATTATCCACTCAGCATGGGGGTTGATGTGGTACAAGTCCAAGAGGTAAGTGTCTGGGTCCAGGCAATGTTCACCTGTTAAAAAAAGACATTAAAAAGAAAACCCACATTTTTAAATATCCTGAGTCCTTTAGCTGCTAGATTTGTTTTTTGGTTTGTTTTTTTTTTTTGCCTCCATCTGAAAACTAGGATTTGTTCACATTCGTTGCAATATTATAACCTTTCTAGAACATTTCCACAAATCTGAGGTAATGGCTCTAAGAGGGAAGAGGGAAGATGTACATTTAGTATTAGGAAGAAATTCTTCAGTTTTGGGGTGGATGAGGCAGTGGCACAGTTGCCCAGAGAAGATTTTTAACTAACTCCTAAAAGAAGCTTATCAGAGTCCTTATTCTCAGCTGCCATTTGTACTTACCAATATTGCCTCCCACTTCATACAGGAGCAAGTTTGTGCACTCCATGGAGTTGTTACTGCAGAAAGAAAAACACACTGAAGGTTAAATCTCTGCCAAGACAGGTTAGGCAGTTTAGTAACATTCCTTCCAAAAGGATTGTTCGTGGTTCAGAGGCCAGCAAAGAGCAAAGAGGCCATGGTACACAGACCTTGCTGATCCTCCTGCACAGTGCAGGACACCCAAAATGGGGAAAAAAAAATGAAACAAGGCAAGCTGTTGGTGAGACAGCAGCTGACCCACATCCAGAACTGCCCTTCCACCCTCCTTGTCTGGAAACCTCCTGGGACACAGGAGAGGCACTGCCACGTTACCTACTAAACACAGTCTGCAGGAGCTGTGGCAGAGAGGGGCAGGAACTCCTCTGTTCCTTTCTCAGGTTAGTTCAGCAATTTGCCACAGGAGCACAGGAGGGAATTGCAGAGTTTATTTTAGGAAATCCCTACATTAACATAAACACACTGGAATTACTACTCCAGGCAAATGATACAAGTGATTCCAGGAGAGCTGGAATGGGTTTGCTCATCAGGGTCAATGTTGCTGCTCTTTCCCTTCCCTTCAGCAAGGATTCTGGAGCTCACGTGGTGCCCAGCAGCCCAGAGGGGACCACTGACCTCCTGACTGCCTCAGCACTGGGTGGAATCACTCAGTGAGTTAAAATTTGCCTTCCCCAGCACCATTTCCTGAGCTTGGAGCAGAGAACAATCTCTCCTCATGGCTCACTCTGCTTCTGCCTCACCTCTACCCCAAGACAGAAGCCAGCAGCTAGACCACTTAAGTTTTTTTCTTTCTTTCTTTTTTAAGCAAAGAAAAAGCCATTTACCACTTGAGGAGGTTGACAGTGTTAACAATATTCCAGCCATTCTGGCACAGGTTCTTCTGAAACTGCCTCAAGACATCAGCAACCCTGGTTGCATTGTTCAAGTGCACCTCCAGAGAGTCCTTCAGGAGGAGTGATGCATGGACTTTCACAATCTTGGAAGGCTGAACAAGGCAAGCAAAAAGAAAAAAGTGCTTAAATAAAATGTTTTAACTGGTGAGAGTTTAATTTTCAAAACAGATTGGAGAGTGTGAAGAATTATACCTGTCCAGACAGCTGTTCAGAGAATTCAGGCTTGTTTCTTACACACACAGTACAGGTTGAAAGCTTATGGAAGCACCAAGGTGAGGATAATGAATAAATCATCAATGTTCTGGTGTTGAGGCCACGAGAGGAGCCCTGTGCTCTCCATCAGTGTGTGCTGGTGCTCTCTGCTGTTCAAACACAGCACTGACAGGAGCTCGGAGGAAAACAGGATTTGCCAGAAGAAATTCTGACAGGCTGTTTTGCACAAGAGTGAATGACTCCTCTGAAATACGTTTAAATTATTTGGGAAGGAATTTAGAGATCTGGTTGCAGGCTACTGAATTCCAGAAAGGTCCTTTCCAGAGAAAGGAAGCACCAGGTGATGTGCCATCTTAACAGATGTTATGGAGCAAAAAGAAAATTAGGAAACAGCCTGAATTTATGCTTTAAAAAATGAAAAGAAGTCTGCCTTTATCACACCAGACATATCTGTGCCTACACATGGGACACTCAGAGCCATGAGAATTCTGCTCCTCACATGGGGAAAAACAAAATTTCTGCTCCTAATCACTTCCTTCTTTTAACCAAGTGTTTTGTAGCCTGAAATGTATTTAGTGCTCCTGCTGCTGAGATCAGTTTTTACCACAACCTGGCCAAAAGCATCTGGGAAAGTGTTCCTTATTATTCTGCTTTATTATGTCCCTCTCGCTCTTTTCAAGTGAATCACCCCTTTTATCTTTCTGAGGTCTCAGACAAACATCTGGCACTGCCACAAAGGAGTTTGGGTTTTTTTCCCAAGCCCTAACTCACCTCTCCCTGGTTCTTTTCCACCTTGTCTTTATCAGTGTGAATCTTCCGTAACAAATGTTTAATTCTCTTGTCGCAGAACTGGTACCTTTTGCTGCTGCTCTCGTTCAGCTTTCTCACTTGAGCTACCAGAAAAGAGGAGACCTGGGCAGGGGAAAAGGGTGAAAACAGGAATTTAATCAAGCAGAGATAAGGATGTCATTTAGGAACCTGACCATCACTTCAGCTTCTTAAATAGACAAAAATATCTGTGTACCTTGAGGACAGGTAGACAGGAATTCAGCCAGAGGTTTTGCTCACAGCTCTTTAATTCCTCTGAAATTTCCAAGGCTATCATCCCTTCCCTATCCCAGCTCTACCAAGTCCAAGACACTGCTACATCAAGCACATAATTCCTGTGGAACTCACTGTCCAGAGCAGATCCTGGTAATGGATCATCATCCGCACCACGTCAGCCGCCCCCTCCGCCAGCTGCTTCTCCTTCCCCTCAGGGATCTTGTTTGGCAGCCCCTTGTGCATGAAGAGGTTTGGGGCCATGACTGTGGAAACATTCCAGAGGTTCATTTTGTTGTTGTTTTCCCTGGCAACCACCTTGCTGAGAAATTCAAGAAGGGCCTGAGAAGAGGGAAAGAGACATAAGCCCATCCATTACTAGTGATGCTCAAAAAGCTAGCGTGGCAATTGCTGGAGAGATCATTAATTAGCACTTTTTCTTGATACAGATCAGCAAATCCCATTTCTCCAGTCAGGAAGCAGAGTGACCAATTTCTAACACTAGCATGGCAACAAATAACACACCAAGAGAGGTCTATCCAGTACTTATAAATCAGGAAAAGCAGTCTGTGTGGGGAACAGGTGAGTTTTTACTCCTTGGCAGGTGGTAATTTACAAAGTCTAGCTGTAAAAGCTTCTGAATCCAAAGATGAATTCCCCCTTTCCTTCAGTGTCCCCTCAAAGCCATTCCCAGATGTGGAAAAATCCCTTTTGGATTTTCTCTTTCACCTCACACCTCCACCAGAACCATGACAGATCATCTTTGACTGAATTATACATTCCAGTTCTCTAAATGAAGTGTGCAGGGTGCTAAGTCAGCCTTACCTTTAATACCTGGGAGCTGAACTACTCAGGAGGAAAAAAAAAGGCAACAACAACCACCACAGCTCTTATAAAGCATGGAAAGGCAGAGGTGGTGTCTACTTAAAAGCCATGTAGCTGTGGCACTTGGGGATATGGATGAGTTGTGGCCTTGGAAGTGCTGGGGAAATGGCTGGATTCAATGATTTCATGGGGTTTTTTCCCAATCTAAACAATTCTGTGATTCTAGGTTTTACCAGCTAAATCAAAAGCAAGCAGTTACCTTCAGAGTGTTTCTGTTGGACTCTGGCAGAATCAGGATCAGGAGGTTTAGAGCTTGCAATCTTTGCTTTAGGTCTGGAATATCTAGAAGGAGAGTGACAACAGGACAGAGAAGTCAGGTTTCTGACCCTTCTTTGTGAGCACAGGAATCCTCCAAGGAATGAGACAATTACTTATTGAATTGCTGGTCATCTCAAATTTGAGAACTTTTTTCAAAGAAGTAAATCAAACTCATACTGTCCTTATGAAGGGAACTATCCATGCTTTAGAAGACTGACTCATTTCCTTTAGAGCACACAATCAACCAGCAGCCCCGATGCCCTTGAAGAGCAGCAAAAGAACCAATAATTCCCCATTTTTTGAACAAAGAACTCATGCACTCAGCATATCCAAACTACCTACTGAGGCACCAACCTCAAAGAAACGTGCTTGCATGACACGACAGCACATCACCTGCAGACTGTGTGCCCTGGGCAGTTCCCACAGCTCAGTCTGTGTCATTACTGATCAGTTTGTCCTAAATGATGGCAGCAAGCTTGCAGGCTCAAGTGACACATCCCTGCAGACCCCAGGACAGCGCTGCTGCACAAAGGCACATCCAACCAAACACCGGTGACCGCAGCCCTCAGCTGTGCTGTGCTCCCAGGGCATCCACAGGCTCCCAGCACAGCCAGCAGGAGAGCCCAGGGCCAGTGGGGCTCTGCACAAAGCCAAGTGGTGCTGGTGGGAGCAGGCACTCACTCTGCACGGCAGCAAAGGCAGGCAGGTACTCTGCTGTCAGCAGCGGGGCCGGCAGCTCGCGGATGAATCTCTTCAGCAGCCCGGACACGTCGTTCTGGTGAACCTCATCCCAGCAGAACAGACCACTGTAGAAGTCCCTTTCCAGCTTCTGCTCCAGGCTCTACGAAAAGATGGAATTTATCACGTGCCTTAATATGCAAATGTAAGAGAAATTTTATAGCTGAGCACTGGGAGGGCATCAAGTCAAAACGGTGCAGAGAGCCTGAGCACACACTCCAATATTTCCCAGCAATGGATGTTTCTGGTTCCCAGTTCTGGTTGTACTGGGAAGGGGACGAGATAATTCAGGTCATTCAAACACTTGCTTCGGCAAATGCTTCCTTATCACCCCTGATATCCAAATAATCCAAACAATGCTCAAGCTCATACCTTAATTCTGGTCTGGGACCCAGAAACTCTCAGGATGCCCTCTGTTTCAAGTCCTCTCTTCTCCAGGCAGGACAGCAGCTGTAAAAGGAGGAAACACAAAGCTCTTAGGCACAGAGGATGAGGAAGCAGCCCGTCCTCATCACAGACTCCTGGCTCTGAGGACCAGAGGTGTGAATGAAACCAGCTGAGAACTTACTGCCTGGAGTAGCAGAGGGACCTTGGTGTTGGGCAGCAGCTTTTGGTCATTTTCCAGCAGGGTGTTGAGTGGAACTCCAAAGAGTCTTTTCTCTACAATAAAAACAACATTTCCAAGTCTGTATCACCTCTGATGGAGGTGTAAGGGAAATATCCCCCACTGCAGACTAAGATGGTAGTTTTGTAAACACAGATACTGCAGAAAGAGAGGAATAGTTAAACAGGACAATTGCAGCCAGACATAAATGTGGTGGTAGGTCTTGATGTCATGATCCACTGACTTCCAGGAGAAATCCAAGGAAAACACACCTGCCACAAGGTTTCTTATCAAAAACCCTCTGTTCTAACATTTGAAACACAACTGATGAGTGTATGATGAGAAGATGAGGGTAAAAAAAAAGGCACAAAAAAGAGTACAACTAACCTGTTGTTTTCAATTTTGCTGCTTTGTTTCTCTTCAGCTCAAAGCCCAGGATATCACAGAGAGCTGTAAGTTCAATGAGGGCCAGTGTGGGGATCTTCTTCATGTCCTGAGCCGACAGATCTCCAATCCTGGTCACTCCTAGTCTGCCCTTTGGGATCTTAAATCTCTAAGGGAAATAAACACAAAAGGTTCAGATCAAGCTATCACTACTAATCCCACTAGTGAACAACTTTTGCTGTAGTTTTATTTTTTTATCATAACCAGGCATCTGCTCTTCCTGCTGTATCCAAGACCAGACACATGCCCAAAACTACTCCTACTCAACCACCAGCTGAATAAATATTTTCCCTTTTCAATATTGCTCTTTAATCCTACTGGAGATGCCAGTTTTTCTAATTTAAAGGCAGCCTGATACCCACCCTAATCTACCTGAACTTTGGAAGCAGCCTCGTTCATTTGCACAGAGGAGAAAACTTTAAAATTATGAGTAAGAAAGTGTAGTTTGTTACTCTCCTCTTTTCAGAGGAAACAACATGGATGTGTGTCAAAATAGGCAGTTTCAGATAAAAAAAGTCTCATTTCTTTTGATCCTCCACTACACAACGGCTATCCTTGCCCAACATTGCCAAGATAACAGCACAACACACCCCAAAATACCACCAAACACAGACCCATTGCAACCCATAGGTGTGAATTGGATTTGGTGTCTTGTACCACCTTGGCAAGACAAGACCAATAAATTTTAACAAGAAAAATCCCTCCAGTGCTTACAGTTAGGGCATTTCCATCCTTTAACTTCCTGGATTCAGACAGGAAGGATCCCTTGAGCAGGACAGCTGCTTGCTCTGAGTAGGCAACATCCATGTTGAACACTTCCTCTTTCCCAGGGTTCCGAACTGTGCAGGAATAATCCTGGGTTTCTGCTGCAGAGGAGAAATTGTCTTGAATTTCTGCAAGCCAGGGGGGTGAAGTTTAGAAAGCAATTGTGCTAAAAATGCAGTTTGAGATAGGTTTGCTACCATTGCTTTTAAAAATCCTGCAGTAACACATGAAAAGAGTGTCCCCACAGCACAGAGTGGTCAGCCTGCCCTGAAAGGTGGTCAAGCTTTGGAACAGGCTGCCAAGGGGAGCGGTGGAGTCACTACTGGAAGTGCTCAAAAATCGTGCAGATGTGGCACCTGGGGACGTGGTTTAGTGGTGAGCCCACTGGTGATGAGTTAGTGGTTGGACTTGTGATTTTAGAGATCTTTACCAAGTTTGATCATTCTGTGATCAGTGTGAAGGCACAACATCATGGCTAAAACTACCAGGTCACTGGTTCAACAAAACCACAGCTTTAAATTGAAGGACACACCTATAGCTAACATCTCTTTACACAACTGCTCATGGCGTTTAAAGTTTCACTGCATGATCTTTGCATTTTATTTTCATCTTTCAGTTGCTTTATCAAAAATTTACAATGATCAGCTTGATCACAGCTTCTAACAACACTGGAGCCTAGAAAAGTTTATTAATCCACAGGTGTGAATAACCACGTAAAGAAACCACATCCCAACACAAACAAGGTCAATGTTTCAGAGCCTGTGTATACTTAAATATGTGTGTGGCTTTCCTTCCAGTTCCAGCCCTACTTCAGATCCTACTCTGCATTTAAAAACCTCCCCCTTACTTCTCTGGGTGTTTGAAGTCCGTAGATTGTGCCACAGTGGATCTGGGCTGGACTCCTCTTTTTCTGCTGCTCTGTCCTGAAAAATAAAAAAAAGAAGTTTTTTTAGGAAAAACCAAAAGAGCAGAACTGCAGGAAAATAGCTGAAAAGACAGCGGTTATGAATTCTTTATCAAGAAAAAAAAATCTAAATAAAGCAGCCAACCCTCTCCCCAAAACAGCAGTGTCAGTCTTTCTCCAGGATTTCCACCTCTACAAGGCCAGCTTAGCAGAGCTGAATTTGGGAAGTTCTCTTGTTTTGTTTAATGGTGATTCAACATGTCACTGGAACAAAGGAAACACAAGAGGGCTCCAAACCACGCCAATGCTCCACGAGGAAGCATTCCAGCAGGAATGTCATTCCAGTCTGGGAAAGCTGTGGATCTGCAGGTTTTCTACCAACTCCTCAACACCGCAGCCAGGATTTCTCCAGTCTCACCTTCCCTTCAGCTCAAGGGATGAAATCATAACAGGAGCCCTAGACCCAGAAAGCCAAGTCAGCTCCCACGAGGCAAGAAGCTCTTGTAGGAGACCCCAAAAAAGCCAGCAAACCTCCGAGCTGCCCACTCCGAAGATGTCGCGCACGTCGCGCACGGGGTGCTTGTTCCTCCTGCGGCGGGAGCGGCTGTAGGTGTCCAGCCGGCGCTGCACGGCCGCTGCCTGGGTCCTGGTCAGCGTGGACAGCAGCACCAGCTTGTCCTTGTCCGAGGCCACGTCCCCCAGGAGCTCGGACAGCCCCGCGTCCTGCAGCCACTCGGCTTCGGCTTCTCCCTCTGCCAAGCGGGCAGGAGAAGGCAGAGTGAGTAGAGAGCAGCAGCCTGGGGCCCTGCCACCCTTCAGAGGTGGAAAGCAGGAGCCTGGGCCGTTCCCTGTCTGGGGTGGCAATGGGACATCACTGGGAGGGAGCCACAGCTCTGTTCTGAAGCCGTGGGTGTTCCCAAAATCTCAGCCCTAATCCCGAGAGCCCAGCTGGGTTTGGGTTGGCAGCGGAGAGCTCTTTGGGCAGGTGCAGCTGCTCACACAGTTCTTACTGCTCATTCCAGGTGAGCAAAATGAGAGAAAAGAGCTGTGGAGGTAGAGATACTCCCAGGAGCACAGGCTCCCAGAGCAGCTGGGCAGAAGAGGGCCCAAGTGTGTCTCTGGGTGATATTTAGGTGAGGATTGTGACAGGGTATGGGACTGAAGACAGGAGGACTTGATAAATCTGCCCCTCCATAGACTGTCTGTGCAAAGGGGAGCTCTGGCAGCAACACACAGCCACCCCAGAAGGAATGGCAGAGCTTCCCACCTGATCTTTCAACAGCTTTGAGAATGGACAAAAGGTCTGTGAAAAGCCACAGCAAACAACACTGCACATTCAGCTTTTGTACTTTTCAAAATGACTTGGTTGCTTCAATTTTTATTTTTTTTTTAACCTATATGCATGCCTAGGTATCAACAACTTTTATTTTTTTTTATGTCCAGATCCTGATCTGGTAGGTTCAAATGTATTTTACTTAATGTACTTGCTGAACTCTTTATGTGCATCATCCCTATTCTTTAATTTTTTAAGTGGATTGGTATCCATCCACTCAACTAAAGTAAAAACGTTATTTTTCCTCTGTGCATTCATTTTATGCCTGGGCCTATTCAAAATATCACTAAAATTAAAGACCATTCCAGTTCCAGAAGGAAGTGTGAGAAGCCTGGAGACAGTACAGCAGCATTACTCAAACAAGCTCAAATCCACCTCATTCTTCAACACATATAAAGCTGCACTTCAAACACAGAAGACTTTTTTTTTTTCTGATGGGATACACTCATAAGGAAGGGCAAGCGAGAAAGTGCCCTGAGCAAGGCAGCTACTTGAAATTCAAAGATGAAAGAAACAATTTAGCAGGTGACTTCAACTTTAACACGGCAAACACCACAAAGCCTTTATCTTTTCAATTCCATCTACCACATTCATTCACTGCAGGCAGCTCCAGTACAGCCCTACCAAAGGTTATACTGGGAAAAAGAAAAATCACAGCTGAACTGATTGGCACAGAGCAGCTCATTGCCACTCTTCCTGTCCTTTGCAAACTTCTGCCTCCTCAGTTATCACAGCTGCTCAAGTTTTATCATTGCTCCATCCATAAAAAGCAGCCATGCAGCTCTCCTTGAGAGATTAAATAATTTAATTTTTCTGGAGAAACCTCATGTTCATGCAGATTGCAAACACACATTGTGACACAATAAAAACTCAGTCTTCAGAGCACGGTCTTTGTGATCTTGGGTGCCAAAATGAAACAGAACTTTTTTCATCATCACACCTCAATAAATAGAGCTGAACTTGAAGTCAAGTATTTCCCTAAGTGAATCTTCTAGCAAATTGTTTGTTTTTCCTACATGGCCCTAAGTTTTGCTCTTTTCCCATGTCTGGTTTACAGAAGTGAGCAGGTGGCAGCATCCCCTGGGCACAGCCATGGTCCCACTCACAGCTCCTCACCAAACACCTTGTCCTACACCCGTGGTCTCTCAGCAGAACAACACACAAAAAGCCTCTGGTTTATTTTGCCTTTGGGAACTAGAGGAAGTGAAGTGTATTGCTTGCAAATTTTGAAAATAGCCAATTCCAGTCATAACAGGAAACTGATCTTATACACAATACCACACAGCATCCCCTCCATCGGACATCCGTGTGAGCCTGCTGCCCCCCTGATGCCAAAACACCAGATTGTAATCCCTCTGTTTACTATTTTGGCCCAGTTACGTTTGCCAGAAACACAAAAGGAAACTGGCAAAATGGGCTGTTTCTGGGGGAAAGGGAAAAATTGGAGAGAAACAGGTCAGAACAGAAATCCACAGAATATAAGCTGCAGGTTTAAGCCTGGAGAGCTGCTACGATTTGCCTTGTGAGTTCCAGGCAAGCATTTCAAGAGGGCACAATTAGGAATGATTTCACAAAACTAAAGAACACCAGTTCCACAAATTTACTTGAAACATAACCTAGTCAAAACCAGCATTCATAATATTCACTTTCCAAACATTTAAAGGACAGCTACAGCACCCGACATTTTCAGGCTAAAACATTAAGCACGACTTCCTATGTAATATTTGAAGGTGAAGAATCACCCTTTGCAGGCAGTTCTCAGCCACAGTTCTGTGCTGTAAGGTCACAAACAGGTATTTTAGTGGCAGAGTGCCTGTGTCCTCAGCTGGCTGTGCTGTCAGCCAGGCAAACAGCGACAGCAAGGACAGCACAAGGCTGCATTTCAGGAAAATGCTGCTTCCTACTCCCACCAAACACCACCAGTACCCTCAGCAGCTTCCAGCTGGCCCAGGTCTGCAGTTACACACTGTCCTCCCACTGCCAGCAGGTCACCAGCAGCTCCCCAGGACACAGCAGCCCCCACCCAGGGCTCCCCAGGACACACCAGCCCTCACCCAGGGCTGCCCAGGGGACACCAGCCCTCACCCAGGGCTGCCCAGGGGACACCAGCCCTCACCCAGGGCTGCCCAGGACACACCAGCCCTCACCCAGGGCTGCCCAGGGGACACCAGCCCTCACCCAGGGCTGCCCAGGGGACACCAGCCCTCACCCAGGGCTGCCCAGGGGACACCAGCCCTCACCCAGGGCTGCCCAGGACACACCAGCCCTCACCCAGGGCTGCCCAGCCCTCACCCAGGGCTTGCTCAGGAGCCCAGTGTTCCCAGCTGGGTCAGCATTTTTGCAGTGCCTTATCTCCACAAGCCTCCCCACCGTCCCTGTGCCGTGGTTATCACCAGCCATCTCCCAGGCTGAGCCATGCTGTCTCCAGACACAGCTGCCCAATTCTCAGTTCCCCAGATTTATGCAAAAGGTGGCAGTGCCTCTGGCTCTGAGGAGTCCCACAGCCTCCTTGCTCTAAGCAGGAGCTGCAGAGATGTGAAAGCCAAACCCTGCACACCATCCAAAGCTTCCCCACTCCCAGCACAATGTTTATTTGCCTAAGCTTCTTCAGAGAAGGCATCAGGAGCCCAAGCCTGCCCCACCTCCTTCCCCAGGCTGCTGGGAAGGCTTTGCTACCTGGAGCATCATTTCAAGCCTGTCTGGTTTCAATGGCCAATTAAACACTCAGATCCTTCCTGCTAGATTAATCTACAGCACTAAAAGACACTTTTCCTCGTATCCCTTCTTATACAGTAATCAAATTGCCTCCAGCATATCAGTCTTTAGGATATCCCAGACAGTCTTTGATCTCATGGGATGGTCTACTTCCAGTCTCCTTCCTGGTGCACTCATTTTCTGAATCACTTTGCATCTCTTCCAGTCCAAAAAATCCAACTTGTGTCAAAGGGACAATCCTTTAACAGCAGACCTTCATGTTTACCATGTCCTGCCAACGATGGCAGACAGGGACAATGATACTCCCACCCTGCTCCCCAGAGCCTCTCTGTGTCCCCATGGGAGCTCCTGGCCCTTCCCAAGCCCAGCAGTGCACTGGGGCTGCCACACAAACATCTCCCCAGGACACAGATCGCTCCCAGCATCAGGCAGCACAGCAGCTGTGCAGGCTGCAGACCTGTGTTCGAGGGGATGTACAGCAAACCACCTCCATTTCTTCAAAAGGGACCCAGGAAAGGTGTGATCCTCACCTGGGGGGTCACTGGGTGTTTGTCACTGCTTGCCAGCCCTGCAGCACACCCCAGGGGTTTGTACCTCCCATGGCTAAAGGGACTGTCCTCAGGAACTGTAGTGACAGCACAAGGAGAAATGGGCTCACACTGGAAGAGGGGACAGTTGTGTTAGATATCAGGAAGAAACCCTTCCCTGGGAGGGTGGGCAGGCCCTGGCACAGGGTGCCCAGAGCAGCTGTGGCTGCCCCTGGATCCCTGGCAGTGTCCAAGGCCAGGCTGGATGGGGCTTGGAGCAGCCTGGGATAGTGGAAGGTGTCCCTGCCATGGCAGGGGTGGAACTGGATGAGCATGAAAGTCCCTTCCAACCCAAATAATTCTATGATTCTATAGAATGAAAACATATTCCAGAAGTTTTGGAATAACTGGCCCAGGTTCCAATTATTCCAAAGCACTGGATAACATCAGTGCTGCAGAAAGAGCATTAGAAACAGCCCATACACACTTCTTCCAAAGAAAGCTAAAAAAGGATATGCAGGAAAAACTGCATGTGGATGGGCTCAAGGCTTTCTGGATGTTTATTGTGGTTTCTTAAACAGGAAATTAGAGAGGGAACAGTCTGCCTTCCACAGAAGCAGCTCCCATAAAAGCCACTAGGATCAATCTCAGAAGCATGCACACAAACAAGGCTTCCAGAACAGCCCCAGCTCCCACAGGGTGTTTGCCACACACCTCCTGAACTGGCACTGAGAGCCCCCACCCTTGCTGGGGCTGCTTGAAAAACCTGCAGCCTTGAACATGCTCCTGGGACTGACCTTTGGAGTCAGCTTTGCTTCAGAAGCCGAAACCAGGCCAGGCCAGCCCTCCCCTTCTGCAGGGCATTATCCACCACCCAATTAAAATCTCTATCCCTGATTGACTGATAATATTCTAACCATACTCCAACATGCTTCTGAATCGTTCAGGTGCATAAGCAAATCTTCTGTTTCAGATGTTCACATTCCTCTCCTCACTCCCAACATTTTTGGCAACCTACCCTCCTGTGTTTTGACATCTGCAAGGCTGCATTCCTCCTGCTCGGCTTCAGTGCTCTGTTTAATGTTCTCTACTTCCAGCCAAAAACTGTCCATTGACAAGTTGTCCAAGGCCTCTACCCTGGAATTGGTGTTCTCTGACGCCAGGGATGCCACAGGACTCCTCGGAGGAAGCTGGTTCATTTTCCAAGGGCAATGTCTGGTGCTGAGAGAGGAAGAGATAAGGAAGGAGAAATTAAGCTCCACGTATTCCCCACGGCCTTGGTGTCCAGCCCTCACTGATTAATGACTGCAGCAAAGCCAAGCACAGGCAAGTGCTGAACCTCCTTTGCTTAGTGTTTAGCACTACAGACAAGGCTGGGACTAAATCCCCTGGAGAATGGGGAAAACTTCTGTCCAAACATGCCAGAGGACACAGGATCAACAGAGCCTTTTCAGGGCTGTCCCTCCAGTGACCTCCAGCACACCACTACCGCCCCACACTCATTGCAAGGCTTCTCTGCAAGTTTACACAGGCACCTTCTGCATCCTCAGCCCCCCAGGATGTGCCAAGCTCAGTGTGCTCCAGGACCTGGCACAGACAGGAGCCTGGCAGCTCCCACCACAGCATCCCAAACCTTTGGGCTTTATGTTCCCCATGGAAAAACCAGCCCAGCTCCATCCCCTGTGCTTCAGCTCACACAACAAACAACTCACGGGGCTGAGGCCCCCTTTTCCTGCCCAGACCAGATTTTTCAGCTGTGAAACAACATGAGGTGTCCTGGGAAACCCAAGCATATGGAATTTTCTTACCACCCTGCTGATTCATTCATGCACAGCTGAAGTCCCAGCCTGGCCTCGTTCAGCTTTCAGCCCCTGTGCTGTGAGCTTCTCCTCACTTCATAAAACAGTGCCTCTCCTAAAATGAGCTATAATTGTCTTCAAAAAGTTCCAAGCCATTTAAGCCCTGCTATACATATTTTTCAAAGACTTACCAAAAAAAATGGGATAAGTGGAACATACTTATGAGAACACCTCAATGGTTCCACTGATGAATACAAAAATTAAAGAGGTGGAACACTAACTGTGGGTGGTTTGAGAAACACCCATGAACAGCCATGACCACCAAACAGGCCAAAATTCCTTCCTAGTTTCATTAAAAAAAAAAAAAAAAATCCTCAAGTCTAAGTCTCACACCTTGAAAACCATGACAACAAAACACCCATGAAATGCTATTTAGCCTCTTAGCTCTCAGAGCCAAAAGTTATAGATGGCAAAATATCTGGAAAGTTTTATCCCCTTTCGTTCCAGAAAGTCATTATTAGCAGTTCTGGCACAACTTGCTTCAGTTATGAGAAGTATTTAAGTTGTAAAGGGCTAAATTTGAAGATCTAACAACTAAGAGAAACGTTGTAGGCCATTCTGCACTTGTATTTACACACGTGCACGCACACCATGCTCACACCTCACTCTAACACACACAGGCAGCCCCTCTCCTCTGGAGGTCAGCAATAACCATCACTGCAGGAACATCTGGAGACAGCCACAGCCTTCAGAACTAGAATTAAAGGGGTTTGTTTGTTTTACAGGAAGACAAAAGTGAAAAACTGACTTGAGCTATTCTGCCACCCAGCAGAACAGAGGTGATCTGCTTTCCCATTTCTGGATATCCAAATAACACTCAAGATACAGATTTACAGCCTGGTGGAACCCTTAAGTAGTCCATCTAAGATTTATTTTTTTTTACCTGCACACTTCCTGTCCAATTCTCCCAGTTCTATTGCAGTTACTAACTCAATTTATTTTTAACTCTTTTCAACTCTTTACCCATTAATACTTAAAAACTTAGATTGCATCCCTCATATTGACTCTTCATCTTTAGTGTTCCTCTCCATTTTCTCACATTTGCTGACAACCATCTCATAAGATTAGATTTAAACAAAGACCCCTTGCTAGCATCAAAAAAGCTGTTCAACACCTTCCCAGGATTCTACTATCAACCAGTCAACAGAACTCATCACTTGCAACATGAAATGGAGTGGAAAAAGGAATTCAAATATTTTGAGGGAGTTGGTTTTGGCCATGTGAGGAGCACTGGAAGACAAACTTGCAGTGAAGGAGTCTCCCAGCACACAACACTCAGGAACCATCTTACAATCTCTCCTAATTGCTCTACTACAGGCTTTCAACAGGTATAAAACAACTCTTCTTGCCTTGAGTAACTGCCCTATATTGCTGTGAGATCTAGGTTATACAGGTTAATGCAGCTCTGAAATGTTCCTTTCCTTTGTGTTCAGCTTGGTTTGGAGCTGGCTCATAACACCCCAGAAATCTCCAGGGACCAACACCAAAACAGAATTTATCTTTGCAGCTCCAGCAGAACCTGCCCCAGGAGGCTGCACACAGATGTTCTCTGTGACACACACAGCACCAAAAGCCCACCAGTCACACTACAAACCTGCTCTAGGAAAGCCACAGATGAGCTAATTGTGTGTCAAACAAAAGCCATCCTAAGTTTTTTCCCCTCAGCTGGCTCATTTAGTGATGCACTAAACTTGGCTTCACCGAGTTGCAGGATGTTGATATTGCACAGCAGCTCTACAGAGGGACAGCAGGACCCAAAGCCCAGCTCTACAAGTGTTAAACCAGAGCTGCTGTTGCTCCTGTCTCACAGGACAACATAAAAACCAGCCCTTCACATTTAGAAAATGTTTGATTTTCTGGTCTAAGCTACTTTTTTTTTTTCCTTGAGCTCAATGCACAGTGCTTTGCAGATCCAGCTGCCCAGGTGGAAGGTTAATTTTAGATTCAGTGCACCTAAAAGATTGTTCTTCCTCATTGCATACCCGAGTCAACTGGAGGGCAGCCTGTGACGTGCAAGCACAGCAACAGCTGAGATTGAAAGCAGAGATTGTTGGCTTAAAATGTTAATGGCTCAGTGCAACTGGGCAAAGAGTAGGTGGAATAATCAAGTTCACTCCACTGCACTGTCAACGTAACAAAAAGCATCAGATTATGAAGCTTTAAAAATTAACCCAACAGAAAGGAGACTGGCAGAAAGATCTTGTTAAGGACAGGCACATAGGAGGGGATCTGTGGAAAGACTGAGCATCTTAATCCAGCCTTTTCTTGTTTAAAAGCACAGCCAGTCTTAACAAGGCTAGAGATTCACCTGGCACTTTCAGTCTAAGCCTGACTTCACAGCATTAATAACACAGTGGTGAGAAATCAGGCTGGCACAGACCTTACAGAGTTCATTTTCTTATTGTTCCTTCTCTATGCCCCCTCCACGAGGATCCCTGGAAGCCCTCCATACCTGCCTCAGTGCTGGGGGCTCACTGATCCTGCCCTGCTTTCCATCTGCTCCTAGATACTGTCAACACACTGCAAATACATTGCAAACACTCATGTAATTCTTCACCCTCTTGAATACCAAAATACAATAAACACTGTTGCTATGTTCACTCCAGGCTTGAATCACTCCCATGAGAGAGCTTCTCAAAGGAACCGGAGCTGCTTGGGCTTCTTTTCTGCTTGCTCAACATCCCTCCCTCGTTGAAATACCTCTTAGCAGATGAATAAATAAAAAGGTTCCTTCTCAAGCATTTCAAACAGACCAGGAGGCAACAAGTGCAAGCCAAGAAAAATGGAATTCTTTTAGGACTGCTTCCAGAAAACTGAGATGGGAAAAAGGCAACAAGAACAGAAGAATTCAGGCAGACAAGGCGGTCCTGCCACACAAGCAGCACCCAGTCTTTAAAGATATTTCCAAAGATCTGGAGCAAGCACAAAGGCACACATGGAACAAAGAAACAGACAGAAAGTCTGTATGAACCTCAAGAGCAGGTTTGGAGTAGCACACCAAGTCACAACATCATTCACAACAACCCAGACCATGAGCATGGAACACAAGCATCTTGCAAGAAAAAAAAAATAAAAGAGAGATTAGTCTATCAACTGGTTGCAGATAAAGACCCTTAGTCAGAGAACAAAACCACATTTATGTCACACCACGTACATCTTACTTGCTTTCATTTACTTCAAGGTCAAAAACATGAGTTTTTGTCATGAGTACAAAAGCAAAACCTTGAAAGAAACAACCAAAAAGTCCCTGCAGTCTCTCTTCACATTGTTTCCAGGTTCTTACCCTAAGCGAGCAGTTAAACCTAAATGATGAAATGTGTAGTTAATTCTGAAGAGAAAAAAAAGTCACCTAAAGATCAGCACATCACAGTTCACAACATACTAGGTTTTCTTGTTTATAATCATGTAGTGGGATAAAGGCATCCAGGAAGAACAGACAGGAGTATTTGAAAATCTGAGAAAATCCTGAAGTAATAATTCACATATATATATATATTTTTTTTTTTTTTAACATAGATATAGCTGTAGCTGTTTTGCTTATTGAAGGTTTAAACCTCATCCTATCAAAATTATCAATGCAAATATAAAAACAGGTTCCTGTATGGAAGAAGTCAATCTACTCATTATCAAAACCTGACATAAATACACATGATCACTATTTCAGACACACAAAACTACACAAAACTCTATTCCTATCAGAGACAGCAAAGTTATGCAGGAGATATCTCATGAACAAAAATTCCACTACTTCTCTACCAAAGGTCTAAATCAGAAGAAAGCCCTACTGCAAATCTTTAATGCCTGGCTTAGTTACCCTCAAAATACCCCAAATTTCGTACAGGAACACCACTACCAATTCCTCCCTTCTCCCCACACCAACATGTGGAAAAGAACTCCTAAGGCTTACTCTTAGGAGAAAATGGAAAGCACATGGCTGGTTCAGATTCCTCAGACCACACCATAAAAGCAAAGAGAGGCTAATTATCAAATTACTGTGGTGGCAACGAACAGTAACTTACCCAACAGACTCTTACCATGCTTTCCTTTCCCTGGCTCAACTCAACCAAAGCAGCTAAAGAGCCAGAATTAAAGCAATTTTTGCAGCAGTCTGCCACTGTTGATGTACACCTGCATATCTCTGACCAGAGACTTGCTCACATATTTAGTAGTTTCACCAAGAGCATCCCCTGTGAGGAGTCACAGTGCCTTTAGCCCAGGCTATTTTCTCCAGCACTGCTGCCATCCCCATTTATGTCCTCATTAAGGCATTTTATCAGGGACTTTTCACGTGTGGGATGGCACAGTTGAAGGTCTGTCTCTACAGCACCAGTGAGAATAGCTGAGATGTCACTGCCACAATTT